TACATGCACATGTTACTTGGAGTTGGCACAAGTGTCACATTTCTTGGATGGCACTAACCCAGTATGCCCATATTCTCATCCATTCTCATGCTAGCAAAATTCAACTCGGCTTCTGGACCACCCTGCACTTTTTTCACAGCTATCATTGCTTAGTTCTTATTTTCTCACTTGAGACTGAACTTTTTAAGACTAGTCTTTGAAACAGAAGTAGCAAAAGCTCAGCCTAAGTAGCCCATGAAATGGTACCTCAAATTTTGATGCTGTTATTGAAATTTTTTCCATATCTTGCTCCTGAGAATATCATTTTAATTTGCTAATGTGTGGTTAGAATGAACAGGCCTGAAATTTTGACTTAAAGAAATATAATGGTCCCTTTAAGAACATTTGCGCAGACAAAAGGCATGGGCCAGTGTTAGGTTGTGATCCATGGGACAGTCCTCCAGAATGCACGGTCTGAAGAGGTTCTAATCAAAACAAGAAGCTTGCTTTCACATGGAGTTGGTAATTTCCAGTTCGGACATTTATAAAGAATAAATCCTGCACTGAAGAATATGACTCCTAGATTTTTTTTACGGTTGGCAGTATTTTATTTCATTTGCTAGACTTACGTTTTTTCTTTTATGACCTAAACCTCAAAATCATCCACCCTACACTAATTTAATATGAAAGATAAGAACAGCTGCAGGCATTCCAGTCTAACCTATACAGAATACAAAAATCAAAGATTTTTTTCCCCTTCGATACACTAAAAAAAGGTGCCCAAAGCTCATTTTCACTAACCAAGACATGCATTTCCATCCTGCCTATGTTTGCTTGTCACACCTCCCTTCTTCCTCCTGCTAGGAAATGTCTGTGCCAAGGACAGTGGTGGGTAGCCACAACTGTCCATGTTGCCATGGAAAACAAATCCCCTTGTCTCAGAGGCAGGCGCATGTCTCAGATTCATGAAATGCTCAACATCAATCAATGTTTTTATCAAGTCACAACAAAATTTGTTAGGACATGATGAAAGATTTGAATCACCTCCATTTCAGTCTCTTTATCTTGCCTAAAAATTTCGGGATTTTTAGGAAGTCTACCAACTGAATGCCTTCCCTGCCTCGTATTTATGTGCTAGTGCCATTGTCCAGCCATGAGACACAGGGGAACTGCTCACAGCATGTGCACAGCTGTCACTGCTCATGGTTTGTGTTTCAAAGTGTTCTTTTCCTTAGCAATTGAAAGAGTAGGATTACAATTTCATGACTTTGGCACTTCACAAAGTAATGCAATTACTCCCACCCAAGACCCCACTTTTGCATTTACATTAAACCTGGGTCCTGAAAGTTTGATATCAGAAATAATTCCACAAGGTTTTGTGAGCAGAGACTGAAGCTAACAGTCAAAATGTATTTTATAGAAATAAATGAATGAAGTATATTATAGCCGTGTTTCACTGTGAAAGATCTTTTCTTTTAGGGTCTTTTAGATTTTTCCTAAACATTGTCAAATAAGTTTTGAAATGTTTTATATCAAGGTCCGTAAGGCTCTATATATGTGAATTAGAAGTTATCTGAAACTTCTCTTCCAGGCATTTTCATTTAATTCTCCACTTACACTTTATTATTTTTTTTTTAATTTTTTTTTTCAACATTTATTTATTTTTCGGACAGAGAGAGACAGAGCATGAACGGGGGAGGGGCAGAGAGAGAGGGAAACACAGAATCGGAAACAGGCTCCAGGCTCTGAGCCACCAGCCCAGAGCCTGACGCGGGGCTCGAACTCACGGACCGCGAGATCGTGACCTGGCTGAAGTCGGACGCTCAACCGACTGCGCCACCCAGGCGCCCCATCCACTTACACTTTAATTTTGCCCCATTACGGACTTCTTCCACGTGGTTGGAAGTCACGTAAAAGACTCTGATAGCCTTTGTACGTCTTTAACTATTATTGGAAAACAATTTCATGCATAGGGAGTTTGTGGTCAGCCTGCAAAAAAGCATTCAAAGAAGTGTTTATGCATATTTGTTCATACCATATTTAACATAGTAGCCTGTACCTTGTTCACATTGTTACAGATTTTTTTTGCCCTTAACACTTATTCAGAATAAAATTTAATGCTTTCATGCACCCCAAAAAATATATTGGTTATATTGTTTGTATGCTCATACTCTTGAATTTGTTTGCCTAGAAATATGAAACAGCAATAAAATGTCATGCTCATTTTATATATGCATGCCCATTTTAAACTTGGAGGACAAATGATACCAGTAATCAATGACTGGATAAAATTATGGACATCTCTTAACCAACTATATGTCCTTTAGTTTCTTTCATTTTGTATTCATTTTCATTCATTAATTTAAAAAAATTTTTGAGCTGATTATATGTGAAGTCCAGCCTATGTGCCTGAAATGCATCAACAAACAAAGTAAGAAGAAAATTCTTGTCCTTTTATATTCTAGCATGAGGAGACAGAAAGTAAAGAATAAACATAAAAAACTGGAAAGAAAGAGCAAGCTAAGGGGTTGGGAACTGGAAAGGCAGACTGCAATTTTAAACAGGTCGGTCAGAATAGGAGTAGCAGAGAAAGTGACAGCTGTACCAAGGCGTGAAGGAGATGAGGGTGTTACCAGTGGGAATAATTACGGGAAGAATGTTCTGGAGGGAGAATACTTTTGGGCAGGAGCTTGCCTATCATGTTCAAGGAATAGTATGATGTTCATATGTTCAAGATAAAAAGGCAATAGAACTCGTTCCATTCCTCTTACATCCCCTGAGACTACAGTTACCATGCACTGCATCATTCTTGCTTAAAATAAACTAGTAAGTTCTTATAAATATTATTTCAATTTTATATACATGTTTATATTCACATTTCCATGCATTTTTTAATTTACATTTTTTTCATTATATTGTAAGCTTCTTCAAGATAAGGAATAGTCCTCTATTCATTATTTTTCTCTATACTGTTTTTGAGACCTACCAGACATTCAATAAATGTTAACTGTAGGCAAGGGGGAGAAAAGAATTAAAAATTTTACTTTTAAAACTCTAGCCTAAGGGCACCTGGGAGGCTCAGTTGGTTGACTGAGTTGGTTGACTCTTGATTTCGGCTCAAGTCATGACCTCACAGTTCATGAGTTCGAGCCCAGCATCAGGCTCTACAGTGACAGCACAGAGCCTGCTTGGGATTCTCCCCCTCCCTCTCCCTGTCCCTCCCATTCCCTCTCTTGAAATAAAAAAATAAAAAATATATACTTAAAAATTAAAAAATAAATAAAATCTAGCCTAGTTTCATGAACCATAGCGGTCAAAACTCTTGCTCTTTGCCTCAGTTTCTTAAAACACACTGAAAACCAACTAATAAGTTATTAAATATGTGAAACATTGTATAAGTGTGAACTGTAATAAAATATAACTCTTAACTTGTATGCCACAAATCCATGAATGAGAAATAGGAGAGATAAATGCAGAAATCTGAACATAGCTTTTCAGGAGGTGGAAATGCAGTTTAAAGAGAGCTGAGAAAAAAGGCTTTAGATGGTGCACCCAGTGATGACATTCTGTGAGCTATTGACCTGGATCTTCAACTCTGATGACCAATGTCCATCAGATCAATGCTAGTCACATGGATGTTAGAGTGATGAGACCCTTAGGAAAGCTTTGCCTTCCACAGTGATCCACTTCATGATTTGCCTTGTTCTAGAATCTCTCCTGACTCTTAACCTTGCCAACATTTCATCTGAATCCCTAGCTTGCAGAGAAATGACAAGCCCGGGTCATAAATAGTGTGTTTCCACAGTTCTAAGATGCCCCATAGGTCATTTATGTCAAGACTTTCTCTGATTTGTGTTCTGATCTGTTATGGGTAAGCTCCCAAGTTAGTTTATTTAGCATATATTATTCTAAACATTTTACTATTTCCATATTGCCAAAAGAAGTATGAACAAATTTAGTAGATAGATTGTTAATGAGAAATGTTAAATGAGGTCATCATAGGATAGTAGTATTATTTCCTTTTCCACACAAAGCCAAGCTACTTTGAGTTTACCTTTCTTATAGTCACAGACAATGCACAGATTTTATTTTATTTAGGGACACATAAAACATCCTCTCATTCAACCCACTATTGCAAATTGTATACTGTCATTCATTTTTCGTTCATTCTATATCTAATTGTTTATGTTCAGCTATATACTTGGGGTTGTGCTAGATTCTGGGGATATTAAGATAATTAAGACATTCTCTTTGCCATTTAGGAACTGAAGGCCTAGAGGTAGAGAAATACAGGTTGATATTCTTCTGCGGCCAGGGCTTTCTAGAATATTTTGTTTCAGAGGTGTGGAAACCGAGGAAATGATTCATGCTTACCAAAAGACCTAATGTATAAGCCAGATGATTGCCTATTTACAAATTTAAAGTTAATGGCATTTCCTCAGACTAATGTGAATATTCATCATCACTATGCAGAGAAAGCTTCCCCAATATCAGATTATAAGAGAAACCATATTAATATTCAGAAGGTTGCCTCATGAGCATGGTATGAGAGTAAAGAAAACCAAATAGTCTTCACTATAGTCAGGCTATAATAAATACTGAGGAACCAGCCCAGCCCTTACAGCCTAAATTATCCCCAGTGATGCAGCAGTTTGTCTAGGTATAATATCTCTGCTATTTTACTGTGCAGGCTAGCACAGCCAAATCTTGCTCCTCTCTCCCCTAAGCTCTTTGGATTTTTGTAAACACTTACTGTCTTCATGCCAGTTAAGATATATTTGTTTCTATTTGAGTTAGTGCCACCCATTCATGTGGGCTAGGTAAAGAAGGATTAGTGACATTAGCATGCTTTCTTGAGGCTTACCTTAGGCAGCTGTCCCTGTATTACCTCTTACTTTTCTAATACTAAGCCTTAAGCATGCCATGTATTTAACTATATTGGCAGAAAAAAATATGATTTGCAGTACATTTAATGACTTTTGAATTTTCCAAAACTGACCTCTTTACTTCTTTCCTTTTAGGTTGTAAAAATGATGATAATTGTCGTGGTGACATTTGCCATCTGCTGGCTGCCTTATCATATTTACTTCATCCTCACAGCAATCTATCAACAGCTGAATAGATGGAAATACATCCAGCAGGTCTACCTGGCTAGTTTTTGGCTGGCAATGAGCTCTACCATGTACAACCCCATCATCTACTGCTGTTTGAATAAAAGGTAAAAACAAAATTACTAAATGCAAGTTTCTTGCCACTCCTGGCTTAGCTGAAAGCATATAATGTTGTTCCCCCTTTTGCACTAAAAATGCAAAAGTAAGGGGTGCCGGGGTGGTTCAGTTGGTTAAGCATCTGACTTTGGCTCACATCATGATCTCACAGTTCGTGGGTTCGAGTCCTGCATCAGGCTCTGCACTAACAGTTCAGAGCCTGAAGCCTGCTTATGATTCTGTGTCTCCCTCTCTCTCTGCCCCTTCCCCATCTGTGCTCTGTGTCTCTCTCTCTCAAAAATAAAGAAATATTAAAAAGAATTTTTAATGCAAAAAGAAGGGAAAATTGAAAAATTGACTGACAGGAGTACAGAGCATGATTTTTTTTCTAGACTTCCTCCTACTTTATGAAGTATCCCACCTTAACCATTACATTCTCAAAACAATATGCTTAGAAGTTCTAACTGGGAAATTTTTATTTCTGCCTCCAAACCCATCAGAATTTTGTCTGCGCAGGAAAAAAAAATGCCCAGTTCAAAGAAATGAAGATAATTCATAGAAATGTACAGATAATTTCGACAAAATGAAAAGATGATGGCACATGTGAGTGGACTCTATTAAGAAAGATGTTTTGTAAATACATTTCAAAATAGAAGATGTTGCTGCGAGGGTTCTAGAAGCAACAGTCAGGGCAAGGAGAATTCCAACCCTCCTTCCTATATAATGAGGTCAGTGAGTAAGAGATGGTGCAGCCTCCATGGAAATGAGTTCTGAAGAAATTGAGGTGGCCAGGGAAAAGCTACTTTCAATTTTTTCTAAGAAGTTTATTTTGAAAGAGACAGAGAGAGCATCAGCAGGGGAGGGGCAGAGACAGAGAGAGAAAGAGAGAGAATGAGAATCCCAAGCAGGCTCTGCACTGCCAGCACAGAGCCCAATGCAGGGCTCAAACTCACAAAACTGTGAGATCATGACCTGAGCCGAAAGGGAGAGTTGGTCGCTTAACCTACTGAGCCACCCAGACGCTAAGGAAAATCTACTTAAAAAAATATTTGTTTAGTGTTTATTTATTTTTGACAGAGAGAGAGAGAGAGAGAGAGAGAGAGAGGCAGAGCATGAGTGGGGGAGGGGCAGAGAGAGAGGGAGACACAGAATCCGAAGCAGGCTCCAGGCTCTGAGCTGTCAGCACAGAGCCTGATGCGGGGCTCGAATCCACTGACTTTGAGATCATGACCTGAGCTGAAGTCGGACGCTCAACCGACTGAGCCATCCAGGCGCCCCAGGAAAAGCTACTTTTAAAGTAAACTTTTTAAAAAGCAGTATTTGACTGTAGTCAGATTTAAGACTGGAAAGAATCATAAAATGTCGTTTCCAGATAAAATCATCTTGGTTGTAATGGTCAGAACATGGAAGGGCATGGTTAAATTTCAGCAGATTGATAATTCCCTTAATAAACCAGTGTGTTCTGGGGCACCTGGGTGGCTCAGTCGGTTAAGCGTCTGACTTTGACTCGGGTCATAATCTCACAGTTCGTGGGTTTCAGCCCCGTGTCGGGCTCTGTACTGACAGCTCACAGCCTGAAGTCTGCTTCAGATTCTGTGTCTCCCTATCTCTGCCCCTCCCCTGCCTGTGTGCTCTCTCTTCCTCTGTCTCTCTCTCTCTCTCTCTTTTTCAAAAATAAATAAATAAACATTTAAAAATTAAAAAAAATAAATAAACCAATGTGTTTTGAGCACAACTAGAAACAGAACTTCATGTAAGTAACTGTAAGCTAAATCCTAGGCTCTCTTTCCAGTTGGACTCCACTATGCAGTGCTTTACATTTGTTAATTACTTAATTCTTCTTTTCTTTCATTAACTGCATAAAGCATATATCAATTCAAGCCACCCCACAAGCAGTACATCTGTTTTTCATCAACTTCACTTAATGGTTTACAAAGCAAAGGATTTTGTATTTTCACATATGATTAGATAAAAACCATCAAGGTTAGTAATTAATTCTAACATTAAATGAGACTTTAATTTATAAATGTGTAATCATTTCTAAAAGAAGCTATTTTGAAATGCATCATTTTTAAGTGCCTTAACTGGCAAGCCTAATTCAAGTACACTTATGCAGATGTATAAAATTACTGAAGAAATGTACACTGTTTCTTTGGCATATGGATTACCTGATGCTGGACAACTTTACTATTCAATGACTTGCTTCTAACTGATAGGAAGTTAAGACTCAATTCATGAAGAAAACTTAAAAGATTAGTACCAATAGTGCGGCATACATTTTAAGAGTTTGACTGGAAAATCAAATTCAAAAACTGATTGTGTTTAATTGCCTTAAATAGGGTTTTCTGTGGCAATTGAAGGAAATTTCCACTTGAAAACATGGCTTTTTCTCTCTGTGGCCTGCTTCTTTCTCTTCAGATTTCGAGCTGGCTTCAAGAGAGCATTTCGCTGGTGCCCTTTCATTGAAGTTTCTAGCTATGATGAGCTGGAGCTCAAGACCACCAGGTTTCACCCGACTCGGCAAAGCAGCCTTTACACGGTGACCAGGATGGAGTCCGTGACAGTGGTGTTTGAGCCCAGTGACCCAGACAACTCCAAAGCCAGTCGAAAGAAGAGAGCAACCCCAAGAGACCCAAGTTTCAGTGGCTGTTCCCGCAGGAATTCCAAATCTGCCTCCACCACGTCAAGCTTCATAAGTTCACCCTATACCTCCGTGGAAGAATATTCCTAAATCCATTTTCTGAAGTGCAAGACTAGCGTTAGGGCATCATGGTGCCAGCATAAGCCCCCATTCTCCTGTTTAGCAGTCCTGTCATACCTACTCTCTGGAAACAGAGGGCAATTTTGGAGCAGCTATGCTTCAATTGAGAAAGGTAGCAGAGAAATGTAACAAAGACACTATTAAGAGATTTACCCCCTCAAAAATAAAATGGGCTCTTAATTTATGCTTTGAAAATTCCAAATTATTACATGCAACAAACTAAACATAGATCTGAAAAATACTTCTAAAATGTTTCATTTTTCTCATTTAAAAGTTGCAATTACAGGGGTGCCTGGATGGCTCAGTCGGTTAAAGCATCAGACTCTTGATTTCCGCTCAGGTCATGATCTCACTGTTGGTGAGTTCAAGCCCCTAGTCAGGCCATGCATGGACAGTGAGGAGACTGTTTAGGATTCTCTCTCTCTCTCTTTCTCTCTTTCTCTCTCTCTCTCTGTCTCTCTGTCTGCTCCTCCCCCACTTGCACTCATGATTTTTTTTCTCTCTCTCTCAAAATAAAATTTTTTAAAAATAAAAGAAATTTTAAAATTGCATATGTATTTGTGACACTAAAGTGACATATGATTTTTCCAAAAGATTAAAGAAGCTTTGTGGTGAGTGACAACAAAATCTATATAAATTGAACATTCTCATCTAATAAAACAGAAAAAAGTTAAATGACTCATTTTTCTCATTAGAATGAAAGAAAATTAGCCTCAAAGAGTAGGAATTAATGAAAATCTTTACTCAAATGAACTCATTTGGAAGAATGAAAAATTTTAAAGATTTAAAGATTTTTCTCCATGAAATGTAACTGGAAAGGAAATCTAGTAAAATTATTATACAACATACATGTTACTCTTTTTATTATTTTTTCTGAGAAAGTGGCATCAAAAGAAAAAAAAAATCCTCTACTTTTTGACCGTTACATATTTTTAAATACCAAGCTAAGAAATAGCCAAAGTTAGGATCTTAAAAGGACAAAGCAAATTCCTATGATCCTCTTTATTTTTCACAAATACTTAAACATTTTTAGAAAATAGGCAGATTATAGGGGCGCCTGGGTGGCTCAGTTGGTTAAGCATCTGACTTCGGCTCAGGTCATGATCTCATGGTTCGTGAGTTTTAGCCCTGCATCAGGCTCTGTGCCGACAACTCAGAGCCTGGAGTCCACTTCAGATTTTGTGTCTCCCTCTCTCTCTCTCTCTCTACGCCTCTCCTGCTCTCGCTCTGTGTGTGTCTCTCTCTCAAAAATAAAGAAACATTAAAAAAATTTTTTTAAAGAAAATAGGCAGATTATAAAACACTAAAGATGCCTTCTAATGAAGGGGAGAATCCCAATTGTCTCTGAAACTGGGTTACCAATTTTTGTAGGCAAGAATTAAAGATAGAAACTCATAATTATTATGGCAGACAGGAATATCTACCAGCACCAAAGAAGTGTCTCTCCCCCAGAACTCAAAGAGAAACAAAGAAGTTGGACATCAACTTTATCAATTTTGGAGCACCCTTATCCTCTTTCTCCTCCCATTGAAAAATGTGTAAGGACTAGGGAAAAGTATCAGAAGATATACTCAAATGAAAATCCTTAGAAAAGAAAGTTTATGTACTACCTGTATATACTAATAAACATATGTAGAAAGGTGAATCAATTGTTAGAATAGAAAGCAGGACAATATTTTGGATGTATGTGAACTAATAGTAGGCAAACAAGAGTATGATATACACCACTCCACAGAGAGGTGTATTTTGTCTATTTAAATAATTCAGAAGCCCCCTAGAAAGAAGTGAGCTAATGGTCCTGAGGAAGCATCTATTTACTATAACAAAAATTTACTGACATATTTCTGAGAGCCATAACAAAATAAGATCTACTTTAAGTGTAGAATTTATCTTCCAGACCTCAGTGCTTATAAATCATCTTTCCTTGAATTAAAGATACTGTCAATCTTCCTCAAAAAAGCAGAAATCTTCTGAGAATGTGGATGTACCACACAAACTTTTCAGAAAGTCTAAAATATTCAGTTAGTTTTTTTAAAAGCTATCCAGCTAAAATAATTACCTGTAATGCTTTACTCGACTGTTATACCTCCATCAATATAGAGTCAACTATTGTTTTGAAAAACAAGATAAAAGCAATTATTCAAGAGGAAATCATAGTCTGTTGCCACCACTAAAGTAAATTTTCCAATCCTTTTTCCTATTTTGAACCCAAAGCCAGAAATATTTGATTGTTACAAGGTGTTCAAAGTCTAAACAACTCCACCATGTATGTAAACTGATTTCTTCTGATTACACCAATAAACAGACACACATACATAAAGACACGAGTATGCAAATACAATCATCTCAATGTATGTAACTTCAAAGAACTAAATTCAAACTTGAATGCTAAAATAGTCAATGGTTATTACAGGGTTGCCACAAACAGTTCAATACACTATGAAGCTTGTGTGCATGCTTTGGATAAGCAAATTTATCATTATTTAGTATCTCGTTGAATATAATGTTTTTAAATGTTCATTCTAAAACATGTAAATGCTTATCATACAATGTCAAAGTGTCAACAAAAGTCTAATATTTTAAAGCACACATTATCTCCTTAAACTTACAAATGATTATGAGACTAGCATTAAGTAACATTCTAGATACACAGGACCATCTTTAGCTGCAGAATGTGGATGTGAAGTTTGGCCTTCAGTTTCACTGTAGTCAGCTACCACCAAATATAGGTTGAAAAACATAACTCTTGGCCTTCACACATAGTAGGAGCACTTAGTATAATTTGCTAAAACATCTAAGGAAAAATAGTCCTTCAATCTGGTGTTTTGTTTTGTTTGGTTTGGCTTTGGTTTTTTGGTCTTTTTCAGTAGATTTGGTGTTGCTGGGTGTAGCAAGTATCATCCTTTGAGTGTGACAGAAATACCTGAGGTCCAGATAGTACTTTTCTAACACTTTTAAGGGGAAACTGACATCATTAACCCACTGTTTGTGACTCTTAAATGAAAACTTATAAAGCGGAACTTTTTAAGGTCAAAAGTTTAAAAAATAATTATAAAACAAGAACAGTATGAAAGAGAGAAGATTTTAGCCCTTTTGTCTGAATTCTGACACTGACAATTATACAATAATACACATGGAAGTAATTTTCAGTAGAGGTCACTTTAAATAAAGCTATGTTGATATTTTCACATTTGTCAGGGCTTGGAATAATTTCTCTCCAAAATTCACCCTACCTTCTGAGGTTAAAGTTCACTGCAAATCTTTTTCATTGTTTGAAGGTAAAAACTGGCTAGAAATACTAGGGAGATAGTTAAAATATCCTAGGATATTTTGGATTTATATCAGTGACAGAAAAATACAAAATATTTTGGGAAAAATCTGAGAGAATCAAGAAGCTTTGCATCATTTTAAATACTTATAAAAGACAAAAATAAATAAATAATTAATGTTGTATTTTCATTATTTTGCATCTGGAAAAAGTGTTTTTGAAATTACTTGCATAGGAAAAAGTTAAAGCAACATGATTATTGTAGAATCCTATCTAAAAGCTTTTATATTTTTAGTAAGCTTAGTATGCTGCTGCATTATTCCATCTCCCAATTTCATGATGGTGACATTTCTGACCCAGCAGCCAAATCTGTATTCCTTTCCAGATCCTGCCAATCTCTTATCAGCAGAGATCCGACCAACTTCAAAGTGACCTCCACTCTTACAAAGCACATAGAAGAATGCCAGGGAGCTTAGTATCAAACCTCAGAAGCACAAAATAATTGTGAGAAATCAATGCTGGCCAGCTCTAATCTGAACTTGAATTTTGTTGATGCAGAATTTCAGCAGAAAACCTCTGATTCGTGTCTGGTAAATGATTCCATCAAATGCAAACGCAGGAGAGTTACAACTTCTCACAGGTTTAACAGTAACAAGTTGAGATCCCAATAGTGCCGATAGTTGCCAATAGTGTTCCAAAAGTTAAGGAAATGAAGCATGACGCTGGTCATGTAGAATAATATTGTAATAATTTCCCTTAGGGCCAAGCAGGAATGAAGAATAAAGTACAACAGCTCTCTGTACAAGGTCAGTAATTGTGTGTTGTAAAATAGCTTGGTGAAAACTCTGTGTATATAAGAAATAAATGAATATAAAGTTTGTAACTAGTGAATAAAGTATTTTTAAGTTGTGGTAATTGTACTGAATGGGGTTTAATATATTCATACCCTTTGTGTATGTGGTAATATCTGACAGATTTGCTTTTGCTTTTTTTCTGTAAAATATTAAAAATAGGATTAAAAATGAAAGCAGCCCTAATATTTTCCTACTGGCTAGCAAAACATATATTATGGAAGGTCCTGTCTTGTCTGAACACACTCACCCTCAGAACTATCCTTCCTTATCTTTTCTCATTAAAAATATCTAGCTTTCCTAAGTTAACTTGATGCAGGAAAAAAAATCTATAGAAAGAAAAGTTACCAAAATGCAGAAAAATATTCGGTGTGGATATCAGGAGCAAGTGAATTGGAATGTGGAGCTGAAACAGTATGAAGTTGAGTATATAACATAGCATTGTAGAGCCATGACTTCAGGGCTCTAACAATCAACACACAAGTTTAAAACCTAAGTCCCACCAGCTGATAGCTGAGAATGCAGAAAAATTTCTTTGTAGGCTTCCTGGGCAGCTCCACAGACTGCTCTCTCAATGCCTTCTCCCATGTGCTTTGAGAAGAGTGCCCAAAGATAATTCTGTGTCAGGAGTCAGCAATGACCCTCATTACCTACCCATTTCCAAGAGTTGCTGTGATCCATTCCTCTATCCCTGATCCATTCCTCTGTCCCACTCAGAGAGAAACAAGTGTCCCCTACCTTATCTTACCAACTTGCCATAAACAGAAGAGAAAAAAAGAAACGGGATATTTTCACCTGACCACCACATATCCAAAGCATCAGGACATAAATTAAATGTGGAAATTAAATTACATGCTATTAAACAATCAATAGATCAAAGAAGAAATCACAAGGGAGATTAGAAAATACTTGAGATGAATGAAAAGTAAAACATATTCCAAAACTTATGAGATGCAGTGAAAGTAGTGTTTGGAGGGAAATTTACAGGTGCAAATGGCTGCATTAAAAAAGAGGAGATATTTCAAATCAATTGTTCGACTTTACACACTTTCTAGTTAGAATAAGAACAAACTAAACCCTAAACTACTAAAGGGAAGGAGATAATAAAGATTAGAGCAGAGATAAAAGAAATAGAGAATAGAAACACAATAGAGAGAATCAACAAAACCACCAGTTGGTTCTTTGAAATGGTCAACAAATTTGACAAACTTTTAGCTAGACAGTCATAGAAAAAAGAGAGAGATATGCAAATAACTAAAACCAAAACTGAAAATGATAAAAGAATACTAGATTAGATTATCCAGTTAAAATGCAAATTCCTAGATATACACAAATTACCTAAGGTTAATCAAGAAGTAATAGAACATCTCAAATACCTATAACAAGTAAAAAGATGGAATTAGTAAAAAATAAATAAATAAATAAATAAATAAATAAATAAACAAAAACAAAAAGACTAAGAACAGCTGGCAAACATTTAAAGAAAAAATAACAGCAAGCCTTCTCAAATTCTTTCAAAAACTAGAAGAGGAAGATTTACTTTTACAGCTCATTCTATGAGGCCAGCATTAACCCGATAACAAAGCCAGATTAAAAAAATCACAAGAAAACAAAATTACAAATATCCCTTATGAATATAGTTACAAAAATCCTTGACAGAATCCTAGTAAACTGAATCCAACAGCATATTACTAAAGGGAGTGAAAACCTCATACACTGAAAACTACAACACATTGCCAAAAGAAGTTAAAAACAAATAAATGAAAAGACATTCTATGTTCACGGATCAAACAAATAATAAACTTAGTATTAAGACATCAATACTACCCAAAGCAATCTAAAGAGTCAATTCAATCCCTATTAAAATTATAAACAGCATTTTTTTTGCAGAAATGGAAAAGTCAACCTTCAAATCCATATGAAATTGCAGGGTAGCCACACTGATGAAACAATC